AAAGAAGTTGGAGGAACTGTCAAAAGTGGGGTGAAACGACAGAAATAAGCAGGGAGAAAGAGAAAACAATCGGTGTTGCTCTAGGACTAATTAACCGGGTTTCGATAAAAAGGGCTAATTCTGATATGCTCTGATTTAACATTCTTTTATCAACATATGCGCCTGACGTCTGCAAATAAGATTAATAGTAAATTAAACGGGAGTCATTGAAATCATTCATTAGATTTTGATTGTCTCCCCATTTAAGTAATATATTAAAGCCCTCACCTGTCCATATATGGCGATTTTGCGAATTAATGCTTTCAAATGAATGAAAATTTATTTATTTCAAATGGCAGGCGTTATGATAGCTATCATTAGCCATTTAGCTGACTTCGGGCTTAACAGAAGGAAGGTTCATCAAATTAGCAGAAAGTCGAGGGGTGGAGAACAGAAGAGCGATTCACAGATGTAAAAGAGGCAGACAGACACAAAGGTAGAGAAAAAGGTAAGATGAGTAATGTGGAAGGGGTCGAATATGACAAGCAGTCGGGCCAAGGTAGTTTGAAGTGAGAAGTCAACTGCCGATTAATAGACTTTTTTGCCGTATGAGTATACGTTGCCCAGGGTGCACCACGTGGAGGTAGGTCTATCGCACACCCCAAATGAATGAAAATATGAGGATGAATTTTTCGGAGAGCATGTAAATTTTTCCATATTTACCTTCTAAAGACTAGTCATTGGAGGATACAACTTTCTCATCTATTAAAAAAACAAGTATTTATTTCCTCTCCAAATGTTTTGCTAAAGGCTGCACTGTTGCTGTCTTTTGGCTATTTTAATAGAAACGAACGCAATTTTCAAATGCGCTATTACTGAAGTAGTATTTGATTGGGTAAACTGTTCAGTGAATTTGACAGCTCTTATTTAATAAGTTTAAATATTAAATGTGTATAAGGCCATTATTAATAACCCATTAAAAGGAAGTGCTCTTAACAAGAATTTAAGAATGATGGTGCAAATTTATTTGCAAAGGTAAAAAAAATATTTAGAGGAACTATTACACCACTCGGAATTATGGATATTTGGCCTTCAAGTAAAAAGGAGAAATATCGATTAAATTTAGTTATGCGAATGAATAACGAGTTATCTCATCCAAACGGCCTAAAATAAGGGGGGGGGGCATTTTTAATAAAAAACAATGAAAAATAATTATTTATAATATAGTACAAAAGTAAAACCTGCCTCGAGCAAGGAAGTTCACGTTTTTGAAATATTTACTTAATTGATGGATGAAAAAACTTTATCTTAGGAATAATTTACTACGCTCACCTCTTTCTCCCATGGTAAAACTATTGACCTCTGACCTCTAACTTCTTCACAGAGTTTCATGAGCTTTCATTTGGTGCCCCATCACTTACACAACACCTGAATAGTCATCGCAGCCTCAGTGTCCTGAAATTCGGCCTATTTGTTCTTCTACCTCTGATACCTCTACTCAAAAGTCCTCCGCCAATAAATTCGACTTCAATTCTCCTTCTCGCCTGTCTTGCAGCCAAAAAATGGGGAAAGGGGGCCAAATCTCAACGTTTTGACAATTTAAGGTAATAAATTAAACCACAATTGAAAGTTTAAACAAAATTGACAGCAACACCTCAATCTGCTTGAAATTGAAACGAAAGACTTCGAGGACAGTTCAATTTGTAGGTCGTTTCAGTTGCCATAAATGGCGAGTTAAGCTCTTCTTTTTTTGTAATTCCCGTAGTTATTGTTGTTTTCTAGCAAATAGACTATATCAGATGGCAAGATTTCATATTTTTAATCTCGACATTTTGCACGAGATTCTACTGAAGTGACGTCGATTAGCTTCCAGCCAGAAAAAAATTCTCGTTTTTTCCCTTTTTTGTCAAAAATCATAATACCACAAACTGCGCGATTTTATAGAAAAGTTATTTAGACTTGTGAAGTTGGCTTAAGTCTAATGCGAAATTTTTAGTCGAATTGTAAATCATGAGAGAATTCGTTTACGGACAGTTCTATTACTGTGACAGGATTCTGCATTAATTTCAACTCTCAGTAAACCACATTAAATTAATGGGAGGCTATAAATATTTTGGTGATTATTTTTTTTCATCATTTACGAATCATTACCTCTAGAGTTTGATAAAATAAAATTTGGACCATGTGGCTTGGTTACTGGAACTGAATTTTACTCCAAAAGAGTCGATAGTAAGAGCGTTGAAAAGTCGAAAATAAATGCTTGTTCAATCAATGGCTGATTTTGGCTGCTAAAAAATGAGCATAACTCAACAAAGTTGGCTCGTGTGTATCTCAGTTGTTACCGTCTTCATAAATTTATTCTAAAGGAATTCGCTAAAACTGAAGTCCAAGCTCATAAAATACCGGCTTACTTGCGTTAAGATTGTGAAACAAAAAACGTATTTCTATGTAAATTCATGAATAGTAACTCGAAATACCAAAACCCTTGACGTTCAGACGTGTTACCTACCATCATTTCATTGACAAGCTTAAGCTTTGAGAAGGTTCTTTTCAGTCTTAGTAACTATTAATAAATGAAATTAGTCCGATGCAGGAGAAATTGAGTTGAGTTGATGTAATAGACTGACAATATCATTAATGATTTTTCCCATGTTATTTCCAATTTAAGTAGTCGTAAGAATGATGCAAAATATCATTCATGATAAAATTGATAACCCAGTAAGCCCAATTTATCATCCTAGTTGGGGAACTTCTTTGTTCGCTTAAAAAACACTAACATCTCCCTCCTGCGTCCAATAAATATAATTGAGCAAGTTAGGTTCATTTTATCCATTTTCACAAGTATCGTTTTCTTATAGACTTCCTATTGATGCACACTACTTTGATATAATAATGAAAAGGTACCATGAGAGGATATTACTAAATATTTTTCCTAGATAGTTGGACAGTGGGCACTCCCGTCCGGCTGTTCCCAAATATTATAGTCACGCGGGAAATAAAAAAAAGTATATCACGAGAAAATTACCATAACGAGAAATGACTGCGTCTATAATCCGCTGTTAAAGCATTTTAACCTAAATACCACTTCCAAATATTATGGGGTCATAATATGATTGGAAAGGCGTTAATTCCCTGGGTTAAGAATAAGTTGATCCATACATTCCCGTTCAGTAATTGGAGGAAAGCCCACATAACATTGAGCCGTGTTCATTGGTAGGTTTTGGCAAAGATACACTTTGGACACAGGGCTTGAGAGCAAGACTATTGGCTAACTGATGTAGACCTCTGATTGGCCATAACCCAGGACCCAATCACGTACTCCCCCAGAGTATCTATATCAATTCTAGACCCAAATCAAACCAGCCATTCCATCAAAATGATTGTCCGTAAATTCACCGCCTTCCTCCTCGTCGTCTGTATTGTAGCCCTTGTTGTCGCTCTTTCTTTGAACGAATGGCCCTGTGGAAATCTTTTCGAACAATGCACAGAGGAAAACGCCAAAGATCGGGAAGTCATGCTTGCATTTGTCTCCCTTCTCCTTATTGGTCTCCTCTTTATTCTCATAGTCTTCATTATTGATGTTGCCCTCTTGACAAAGGCTCAAGAGACCTCGATAAATATCAGCGCCCGCTTCACTTTCATCTATCTAGGAGCCGTGCTGATCTTTGTGGCCGTTATCATGTACACTGCTATTCAGAGCCAACTCTGGGGATACTTTTTGGCTGTCTTTGCAGCTACAATTGCTATGGTTCTTGCAGCCCTGGCTGTCGCTTCCTCAAGATGTGTCTCTAGGAGCGAATTGGTCGCTGCTGATGGGGAATAAAAGCTGGACCAACTTGCCTTGAAACAAAAGTTTAGTCTTCAATTCGCATGCATCTTTTTCTCAATCCCCTTCTTTCACTTCCGAACGTGTCCTCCTCTTCCCGAAATCCTCAAACCACAACCACTCAATCGATGTACCTGCTCATGTTACAGCTTATACAAATACTACTAATAGTCAAACGCATTAAAGATACTATTATTATTCCGATTGGAATGCTAGGCTTTAGCGTTTATGAATAAAAATTTTCAATTTTCCCTTTTGTGTGCTTTTGATGCTTTTATTTATTAAGTATGTTGAGTCGATTTTGCTGGATATTAAAACTAAGCTGTACTAGGTTAGTTCAAATTGAAACATAGCTTTTATTGTGTCCAAAAAATTATAGGGGTACCATATAAGTAAAAAAGTAAATTTTTATAATTTAGCTGAACGGTTTATTGTGTGTGTTTGGAAGTCGAACTTCGAGGAAGCGCTTCTAATACGGGCTTCTATCCTTAAGTTTCGAACTCCAATTAGGCACAATTGCTTGGCGTAGAATCACCTTATCGATGAGCGAGATACTTCGTTTGAGAAATAGTTTAATGCCTTTTGGCATTTCGCTTGCTACCTTGATTGAAAGTGTCGAAGCATATGCTCTGAATGTTATTCAAACAGCATAATTTAATCGTTTGTTTAAGAAACCTTGATTTAACCACGCAGAACCCGTAAAAGATTAATATATTTTTATGATCTTCAGTTAGATTCGCACTCCAAATCGGGAGCACCCGGTTCGACCTCACTTGGGGCATGATGAGAGAGTGGAATAACTAACCACCTCGTCATAAAGCTCCATCCCGAAACGCCTTCAAAAGCGCTGTCTTCAATGAGCTCAGAAGACAACTATAACGTCCATCTCTTATGATTAATTTTTAAATCAATAGCTACTGAAACTGAAATTATATTAATTAATTTCGACGATTAGATACTCGCGATCTGCTGGTTCAATTAACGAAAGTAACCGAAATATCAAAAGAGCTTCAGGGTCAATTTTTGTTTTAAGTTCAAATAAACACGCTTCTTAGCTTAACTGGAT